GTCAGGGGTTTCGTCATTTTGGGGCTTAGGTTTCGTCTTTCGTCACCAAGCAAAAAAGGTTTCGTCTAACAACTATAGTCCTGGATAAATCCAATATTTCTAAATATTTAAACTTACTAGTACAAGTGGAGGTGTTAACTGTGCACTATTAAGATTGAGACGTCGAATATTCTGCAATGCTGCTATAAATAGAAAAACAATACTTGTTTTGGTAAAACACTAAAAAATAAATAAATAAACAAAAAGTAATTAAATCTTCGAGAAAGGTAAGGTACGATCTGAATTGACAGTCCATGATATCGAGTTATTCGAGACACTGTAAATCTGTAATTTTGCATCGTGTTATTATTAATAAATAGACCGCTTTTATTTTAAAAAATTGATAAGTCCATTATCAGCTATCAATTCACAAATACATATGCTGCTGTAACCACATTCAACCTACAAAAGTTTTTTATATAGAATTATAGAGTAATTAAGAGAAGAAATTAATAGATTCAAGGACTTAATTACTTGTTAAGTTTATCAATTCATTAACTGTCGCGAATTAAAATGAAATGAGTGTTTCTATTTAACCATCTAAAAATCACTTGTTTATTATAAACTCGACTCTAAAGCTAATCTCTGACCCTAACTCTAAAAAAATGCAACTTAAAAATTTATATTTTGTCTATTTTTTACATTGTTAATATTTCATTAAATCCGTCACTAATACTATGATTTATATGCTGCGTATTATTAACAGAAGCAGAACATCTCTTTTCAAAGTTTTTTTTGAAAAAAGTTAAAATTAGATTCGAAATTTGCTAACGCGAAACCTTAATATTGTGGAAGAAGGTTCTTTATCATTTGAAATACTCTGGTCTTTTAGGATTGGTTAGTATGGTCGGCCAATTTCAAAAAAATAGACATTTTAATTTACTTTTAATCTACAACTAGGAAAGTAAAATCCATTGGGTTACGTAGTATTAATTTGCAAAATATATAACGATTATACTGTATATTGTGCTTATCTATTTGTCTGATGAAAACAGAAAAAGGTTGAAATTGATTAGTTATTCAAAAAAGGACAGGTAGAATAATCATGGTAGAAAAATTCATGATCAAGTGACATTTATTATTCCGAATCTTATGATGCAGCCAAAGCCAAAATATAATATCAGCATACCAAATTTTATGCAATTAGATATTGCTGTATAATTATATTAAGCTTATTGTTTGTTATCATAATCACCTTATCATGAATTTTTTTAGACACAACCTCAAAAGGACTATCCCTTTTGCTTATTTGATAATTAATTAGTTCTTATTAATTAAATACCTTTTTTCTCTTCTGAATTTTATATGACTAACTTTCTGGTTATTATCACTTGATAGACGTTTATCTTATCTCTCCAGTATTTCTCTGCTTAATTTATCTTACCATTAATTTCGTTCTCATTCAATATGTATTTTTTGCTCTTTTTCTGTTTCAGAATTCTCTTTTTTACCCACTGATTAAGACATATTTCTCGCTTCTTATCAGTTTCCATAAACTTTTTATTTTCACTTGTGATCACGATTGTGCACAATGCATCTACATTGAAATTAATATATTCAATATTCATTTTGATGAATTTGAAAGAATTGTACATAATTATTAAAGTGTTAAACTACAGATTTTTTTGATGATTCGAACCATTATTGGGATTAACTATGTATTTACTGGTAAGAAAATATATTAATGCTTCAATAACTTTCATTATTTTTCTAAAATATTTTTACTTATCAACTCTAAAGGTCACTTCAATACCAATTTCTTTTCTACACTTGATACAAAATATGTCATATGCCACTAAATTAGCAATTCTTTTTCAACGAAAACTTCGACCATATGCTTCATTAATCATTCTGCACTTTGAATGTTTTCTAATTTTCTTTTGTGAATTGAAGACATAATAGAGATATTATAATTTTTATAATTTTTAGTTCGTTCATAAGAGGTACATTATATAGGGTATTGACTAAACTTAACATGTACTGTAAGTAGAGTATATTATAATAATTTTGGAAGTATGTATGGTTAACAAAACTTATAAAATTTAGTTTTAAAAATGAATTATATTTAACATTAAGGAACATTATTATTCTTCTTTAAGATACAATTCAGTGTTGATTATAAGAAATGTTTTAAAGAATTTTTTTTATAAACAATATAGACGTGTTTATTTGAGCTTCATTATCATACTTTTAAAGCCAATTATTTTTCTTATACGCGTATTATATTAATAAAAAAATTTAGAAAATAACAATGATTCGAGAGAAATAACATTAAAAAATGGTGTTTTCATTCTATTTAATTTATAATTTTATTATTGTTATCTTTACGCAAGTTATTTGGATTGATTAATGCTCCACCAACCTGACACATATTGCACTAAATTAAAAGTTAATTTTAAAATGCAACATAGTGATTTGGGCATTTGAGATCGAGAATTTATTTTTTTCTTTATTTTATTTTATACTCACTGGAACCTGTACGGAACCCAATTTTATCACCTATTATTTGGACTTAAGTTCCTCCGCTTTGCTCCGAAATTAAATATATCATGTTTTCCAATGTTTAACTTAGATATAATGTTAAAACGGCATTCTCATGAAAAATTTGCATTGTTAACTTAATTAGCATATTGGTAATTCTTGTTCAATTTTAGAATTAATATTTATATTTTTATTGAAGTAAATGTAAATAAAATATTTAAAGGATATTCGAGACTGAGATTTAAAAAAAGAAGATAAAATAAATTTAAAAATTCTTACTCCCAAAGCAGTAAAAAGAATCTGAAATTTTTTTTTGTTCGAGAATATTTTCTTAATGATAAAGAAAACTCAATTTTACCAATTATGACATTTCATATATATCTTACAGAGTACAATTATAAATTTTATGCTCTTAGTTTATTCTCAAAAGAAAACGTGACTTTAAATCCAGTATTCTCGATATTTTTTCACTGCGAAAATTTCGATAGCTAAGAAGAAATTATATAGCTTTACCCTCCTAAGTGCATGTATCATAAACACAATTTAATTTAGAATTTGCCTGAAATTTCGATTGTACTCATTGGTTTACTAATATGTTCAGAAAATTTTTGTGTATTATGTAGCTTGCTAGTATAAACTTCTTGAGAATGTACTTGTTTGACCGCCTCTGGTTTAGTCTTATTGTCTTCTAAAAATTGATTCTTGATTTCATTATCATCTTCCTGATCCATTTCATTTAACCAACTTGTGATTATTTCAATAATTTCTGTCACAGTAGGTCGACTATCAAAATCTTTATCCATACATTTCATAGCTAATTCAACATAACAATCTGGTCCTAAACATTCTGGTCTAGATCCACCGATAATTCTTAAACCAAGATCATCATTAAACGGAATTCCATCAAATGCTCTTTGGCCGGTTGAAATCTCTGTCATTATAACTCCAATACTGTAAATATCCGATGCTTGAGTATACGGCTGACCCATCAAAACTTCAGGCACTATATACGGTAGAATTCCACAAATTTTTCCTTCCTTTACTTTTTTTGAAAGTCTAAGATCAGTAATATACGCATCATACAAACTATTTCTTTGCAAAATATTTCCACTATGTAAATCTCTGTGAACGAGTTCCTGCGAATGAATCGATTCGAGATCCAAAGCTATATAGTACAATATACCCAATTTATCTTTCCATCCCAATTGTGATATTTGTACGAGATTGTGTCGTAACGAACCGTTGAATGCATAATCCATAACAATAATATAGTCACCATAATTATTTTTTGATACTCCAGAACATCCCAAGAATGAAGGATTCTCGTATCCAATTTCACAGTGATTTTTCAATTCCTGGATAAATTCTTCCTCATTCTTGTTTGAATCACGAATCACTTTAAGTGCACCATATTTCAATGCGTTATTAATTCTATCGAACCAACTTGCATAATATATAGTTGCAAATCCTCCCTTTGCCTCTTCTTCGATATCTCTGAACTCATTATAATCAATCCAAGATAATTTAAATCTCTCATCGTCTAATATTCTTTTAAGTTCAGGATTGATATTATCAGGTGATATATCAGTTTTCAAAAGGCTTCTATGTTTTCTGAACCAATAATTTGCGTTCTGAATCGTCCTCTTTGTACCGATACCGTTTCGATAAAATCTAGCAACATTAGATTATGCATTGCCTCTTTAACACCCATATTAGCAGATTTTCATAATATTCAAATGCTTTATTATAATCTTGATTAACACCTTGTCCATTTTCGTAACGAACACCAACACAACACATTGCAGTAGCATTATCTAAGTCAGCAGATTTCTTTTGATATTCAAATGATTTCTGGTAATTTATCTCTGCTCCAATCCCATAAAAATAACAAAGACCAACACAACTAGATTTCCTAACTCAGCTGCCCTCATATAATATTCTAAAGCCTTCTTTTCGTCTTTCTCAACACCAATACCGTATACATAATTATAACCAAGTTCACGAATTTGGTTATAATCCATTTTTTTAAAAAAAAGTTTATGCAAAATAAATGAAAATTTTAATTATCTGGAGTGCGACGGAGGACATTTAATGTTTAGTCAAAGTAGTACAAAAGTCACAATAAATACGTAGTTGGCTATTATCATTGCATCAACAACGAAGTTTTGAATTTTTGTTTATATCTGTCTGCATGCACATTTGTATTCTAGTGCAACAAAACTAAAAAATCTACTAATTAAGAAAAATGTGCGGCGGATAATTTTGCTATAGACTTGTTCAGCTAATATTGATATTAATGCACTCAATCATAATGCATTCCAACCCTGAGTTTTTGGAATTACCCTGTAAAAATATCTTTATCATATATGATAGAGGCTTATAGAAATTTATTAATAGAGATGTCATAAAAAGCTGCAACGTAACCATGCTACAGCAGTGAATAGCAAAAATAGTACTTTGTAAATATGATGATCATATTTTATTTACAGAAAGCTAATAAATGTCCTAAATATTGATTTTAATGTACAGAACTTCATTAAATATATGTTTAGCATTTGTACACGTAATCATAAATTTCAATTTAGGCCCTTTTTTTTAAACATTATTACATTTATTCTCACAAACTTTTTTGGTAATTTCTTTGAAATGTCTAAAGAATAAAAAATATTGTTTAAAATTTTTGTGGCACATAATTTTTACATAAGTGATTTAGAAATTTGATGCTTTCTTACCAGCTAAAATATTACGGCATGACAAAAAATTTGAGCGAAATCCAAATTCAAAAAAGATAAATGCGTTAAGTCAACATGAAATTAATATCAATTATAGATTAAGAAGGTTATATATCTAATGTTAAGATATTTTATATTCCTATTGGTAAATGTAGATTTACGGATTGTTAACAATGATGCATTCTTGATTCGAAACTAAGATGGGTAAATTCACGTAGGCTTGATTAAAAAAATTTTGCCTTGATATTAATGATATTTTATGTGTCAGTAAATATTACACTATCATCTAGATAAACAAAACTGACATCCGTAATTAAGGTTCGATCAAGATATAATTAAACTAAAATTTCCAAATCTACATATGTATATGTATAAAGATTAAAAATAACCACACAAATTTCATAACATTAAGTACCTTTTAAGGCAGACTTTCCAACTTCAGCTAATTTCTACTAAGAAAGTTACTTTCAGTAACTCGAAATAATTAATGAAAAATGAAATTCATTGTTTAAACTAACTCTTATCACAAGCAAGATTCATAACTTCCGAATTAGTTACATTTATAAAAATTTTATAAAAACAAAATATATATAGGAAGATTGAAGTCTCTTTAAAAAATAAAAAATTCTAAAATCAACTAAAATTTATCAGAAAAATCTTGCAATTTCTACAAATATATATAATTAATTATCTAATAATTTTATATAAAATTATGACTAAATAGAAATAACAAGGTTACTTTTCTATCTTTTGCCATTCATTTTAATCCAAGTCAGCCAATGTCAATGGTTTTTATTAATATAAGCTCAACCATATAGGGTCTTTGCCTTGAAAATCGAGTTACGGAACATAGTAAATTATATGTTCCATACTTGATTTTCAAGGCAAAGACCC